GTGTAGAGAGAGAGAGAGAGCACACGCACATGTGCACCAATCTTGGGGCTTGAATTCAGGGCCTGTGCACTATCCCTGAGCTTTTGTACCCAAGGCAAGCACTCTACCACTTGAGCCACAGCGCCACTTTCTGCTTTTGGTCATTAATTGGAGGTAAGAGTCTCACGGACTTTCCTGCCTGGGCTGGCTTTGGACCGCGGTCCTCAGCTCTCAGCCTCCTGAGTAGCTAGGATGACAGGTGTGAGCCACCCAGCTGCTTTCTGGCCGTTTAGGATCAGCAGCCCCCCACGTTGTCCTGGCCCCGGCCACATTCCCCTGTGGGCATATCATTTTGAAAGGCCTCTGTCTTGGGATGGGCGAGAGATGACCAGGCCACCTTGGGACCTGGGGCAGCTGCTCCTTCCTGAGCTGCGAGGCCGCCCCACACCTCCTGGACACTGCTGGACACTGGGGGTGGGGGGGAATGGGAGGTGGGTCTTTGTGAAATGCGTGACATCAAACAAGAAAAGACACAGTGCCTCCTGGGGTGATGGCAGCCGCTGGCATCCAGAGCGACCGGCGCCACCGTGGACAGTAGACAGGCTACCCACGCGCGGCTGCAGGTGCTGCGGCTCCACCCGCGGCTCCATCCGCTTGTGGTGAGCGGTGCTGCACGTGTCCACCCTGACCTCTGAGCACATACGTGCTCGGCTGCACAGCCGTCCCCACTGCTGTCCAGTTCCAGAACCTTCCCAGACTGAAGCTCTGTCTCCCTGGCCCCCGGTTACCCCATGACCCATGTGACCCACTGCACCAGAGACCACATGAGTGGGGCCTCAAACTCTGTGTCCTGGGCTGGGAAGGTGGCTCAGTGGTAGAGTGCTTGCCTTGCATGCTCAAGGCCCTGGGTTCAATTCCTCAGCACCACATAAGCAAAAAAAAAAAAAAAAGCCGGAAGTGGCGCTGTGGCTCAAGTGGTAGAATGCTAGCCTTGAGCTGAAGAGCTGAGGGACAGCGCCCGGACCCAAAAAAAAAACTCAAAAAACTCTGTGTCCTGTTGTGCCCAGCTGGGCTGCACCCTGTCAGCACAGGGTCAGAATTTTCTCCACTTAGTGATGGATTCCAGGTATGAGCTGGGCACCATGGCTCAGGCCTGTAATCCTAGCTTGCTTGGGAAGTAGAAGCCAGGGGATAATGGTTCGAGGCCAGGATGTACCTACGACCGTTCATGAGACCCCACCTCATTCAGTGTCTGGTGCAGTGGCACACGCCTGTCACCCCCGTGGCTCAGAGAGGCACCAGCAGAAGGATCGCAGCCCAGGCTGGCCAGGATATCACGTGAGACCCTGCCTGGAAAAAGCCAGCACGCAAAGGGGCTGCAGGCATGGCTCAAGTGGTAGGGCACCAGTTTTGCAAGCACAAGGTCCTGAGTTCAATCCCCAGGACTGCAAAAGATGCAGGCTGACACATGGACCACATCTTGTGGCGCCACTGCCCACGGCTGGACATGGGCGTGGCCTAACAGGTGCTCCCAAGACCTGTCCATCCACTGTCACCGTCCGCCCTTACGGGACCTTCCTGATGGCCAGCAGCCTGGTGTTGGTGGAACAGGTCAGCTATGGTGCTGGAGTGAAGCTCCTGACTAAATGTCTCCCTCTCCTTCTCTCCCTCCTCCCTCCCTCTCCCTGCCTCCCCCTCCCTCCTCCCCACCCCTCCCTGCCCCCCTTCTCTGATCAGGCCGCCCTTCCCAGCTAGCAAGGATGCCTCGGCCTCGGCCTTCGAGTACCCGGGGCCCAAGCGGAAGCTCTACAGCACGGTGCCCGGGAGGCTGTTCGTCGTCGTCAAGCCATACCAACCCCAAGGCGACGGAGAGATCCCCCTCCACCGCGGCGACAGGGTCAAAGGTCAGCGCTGCCCACCACCCTGCTCGGGTCCTCTTAGTCCCCGCCCACCCTCTGGAAGGGCCGGAGGGGGGGCAGAGCTAGGCTTGCCAGCCAGCACCCACTGTTCAGCGTGCCCGGGGCAGGGGCGGGGAAGGAAGAGGCACGGGCGTGCCCGGGGGGCGAGCCTCTGTCCTGCGCAGGGTCCCGGTGGCCCGCGGGCACCCTGCCTCTCACGGGGCCGCAGCCCCCTCTCCCTCCTCGCCACACAGCCCTCTCCCTTGTGTGACCCCGAAGCGGCCCCCGGGTCTCCCGGCCCAGCTCTGGACCCCGAGCCGGCCCCGCCCCTCGGCCCCAGGCGGTGGTGGCCCAGGCCTGGTTGACAGCAGCTGTCTGTGCAGCTTCCAGGCTGGCCGGCCTGAGAACCCGGGGCACTGGTTAATGGGGGCCCCGGGGACCACAGGAGGGGAATGGTGGACGCCAAAGAGGAAGAGGGACTGGCAGACATGTGGGTGAGGCCAAGACACCGCAGAGCCCATCTGCCCCCAAAGCCCCAAGGCTGGTCTTTAAAACAAGGTGACCTGCTCACAATCGGGAAGAACGGACATGAGAAGGAAGGGTTCAGGGTCTGGCAGCCGTGGCGCACCCCATGGACCTCCATCCCAGCCCAGTGCTGTGGGCCCCCGGGGGCTCCCAGGCCAGGGCTCTGTGCCGGGAGGGGAGCAGCCGAATGACCACCGGCTGGGCTGGCGAAGCGGTGAGGGTGAATTTCGTTATTAATTGTGCCAGTGCTGGAGCTTGAACTCAGGACCTGGACACTGAATATTTGTGCTCAAGGCTAGCACTCTACCACTTGGGCCACACCTCCACTGTCAGCTTTTGGTGTTTCCTTAGAGATAAGAGTCTCAGGGACTTGACTTTGCACTGTGATCCTCAGCGCTCAGCCTCCTGAGTAGCTAGGATGACACACAAGTCAGCAGAGCTCAGCTCGTGGTTGAATTTAAAAACCAGCACCCACACCCAGTACCTCTCGCTCCTCTATGCACCGGCACCGGGTTTAATGAGGGACATCCAAGCCCATGCTGAGCGGCTCCTGTCCTGATGTGGGGGACAGCTGTCTGTCCATCTGCACACAGTGGAGGACACCGAGGGGTCATTGTCCCATCTCTGTAAAAGAATTTGTTTCTTCTATCCAAAATCAGAGTCCAGACATCAGTGCTCACCTGGGCACTGTAATCCCAGCTAACTGAGAGGCTGCAATGTGGAGGATCACAGTTCAAAGCCAGCCAGAGCAGAAAGTCCACAAGACTCTTCTATCTCCAATTGACCAACAAAAAGCCAGACTAGAGGTGTGGCTCAAGTGGTAGAGCACTAGCTGAACAGCACAAGGCCCTGAGTTCAAGCCCCAGTACTAGCAAATTAAACAAGCAAACAAAAACCCAAGCCACCAGCACCACATGACCGATGGGCCCAGGGCTGGGGCATCTTTCCATCTTCTCTCCATGCGGAGGGGGACAACATCTTGAGATCAGACAGCCCCGCACAGCCCAGCCTCCCCACCCTGCCCCAGGCTTTTGTGGCTGAAATCACTGCTGGAGAGACTCACAGAGGACAAGGACAGACAGAACAAAGACGCCCCTTTGGACAAGTGACACGGGAAGGACGCGATCGAGGGCCTGCAGGCCCGTCTGTCCTCCTGTGTTGGTCAGAGGTGGCCTGGGGGCAGCGGAGCGCTGTGCCCTCCAGGGTCCTCCCCAGGACCCTTGTCCGTGGGCACGTGGTCCTGGGCCTCCGGGTTTGCAGGTCCTCATCCTTGGTCCGGGTGTCCCTGCCCCGCCCTCTCTCTAACGCCCGTCCTCCTCTGCTGCCTCCTCCAGTTCTGAGCATCGGCGAGGGCGGATTCTGGGAAGGCAGCGCCCGCGGGCACATCGGATGGTTCCCGGCGGACTGCGTGGAGGAGGTCCAGTGCAAGCCGAGGGACAGCCAGGCCGGTAAGCTGGCTTCGTGTGCGCCGGGGCTCACGGGCGGCCTGGAGCGCAGCCGGGCCCCGCTGGCGGCGGCGGGGAGGCCGGGCTGCAGGTCCGGCTCCCTCTCTTCCTCCGGCTTCGTCCAAGCCGGACGATCACGGCTGGCCGTGGGGAGCTGTGTGTGTGTGTGAGTCGAGAGCTGGGCGCCGGTGTGCTGGCCGTCCAGGACCACTTTGCGTGTTGACAAAATGTCTGTTTCTTCTCCTGGGTGGAGTCAGGACACAGGTAGCTCCCCACAGGTGAGCAAGAACCCCCATTCCCGCCCCGAGGGCCACACACAGCTGCCCGGGCGGGAATGGTGGGGTGCTTACGCCTAACTTTCCCTGAGAGCTCAGCGCCGCAGGCTGCGCTGATCGGGGAGGCCCAGGCGCCCGGCTGCCAGTCGGAGCCATTCCTGACGCTGTATGGAAAGGGGGCTGGGGGGGTGATGTCTCCCACCTGTGAGCTGTGTGGACGGTTCCCTGGTGACCGCTCCCCTTGCTGGCCTCTCGCATGACGCTGTGGCTGCTGAGCTCAGCGCGTTTGGTGGGGGGGGGTCAGGACTCTGTGCCTGGCCGTGTGGGCTCTGGTGTCCACACGTCGTGGGGGCCCCCATGCCGATCCGGCCCTGAGCTCCAGGGTTCCCAGGGTCGGGGACAGAGGTACCTGTGTCTGTGCCGCCCTGGGCTGGCTGCCGGCATTGCTGGTTTGCTGGGAGGGCGGGAGGGGAGGAAGAGCCAGCTTCCTGGGCCTTCAGGTCCTGGGAGCTGGGGCAAAGCGCCGCCACTTCAGTAGAACTCAGCCCCCAGGGGTTCGGAGTCTGGGTCTTGGCGGGCCAGGGTTCCAGCCAGGGTGGAGGCTCCGGGGCCACCCCCTCCGGGTCTCAGCCCCCAGACTGCAGCCACCCTCCTGGCTCCTGACACTGACGGCAGCCCTGCCTTCATCTCGTCCAGCCTCCCAGCCTTCCTCTTCTGCCTCTGTCTCCCCATTCTCACGGGGAGTAAAGTCTCAACTCCACCTGCAGCCCTGGTGCTCTGGCGGGGATGGTGCGCCATGTGGGTGGCGGCACGGAGCGGGGAGCCGGATATCCTCGGGGTGGGGGTGGGGCTCCCCCTCTCACGGGTGACACACTAAGGACATCATAACTGCTGTAAGAAGGCAGAGGAGGAGGTGAGGACAGGCTACAGGCCCTCCCACGACCCCCGGCCCCCGTCCACTCTTGGTGTTGTCAGGCTGACTTGGTCTTTTGTGGGTTGGTTGGCACCCATCGCAAGAAGGGTCTGATCAGGAGAGGGTCATGGCGTCCTGGTGACAGCGGCGACCAGGTATCTTCCGTGAGCTTTGCTATCGTACGCATGACTTCTTTCCAGAAGCATCTGTGCAGATCTTGGCGCGCTTAATAACTGAGATACTTATCTCTGCTTTGGGTTGGTAGGCTTCTTCTCATTTACCTCTTCTTGTTGATCCTGCATCAGATGTCTGTGGCAAATATCACCCCCCCCCCAGTTTGTGATTTGTCTTATCATTTTCTAGTAGTGTCTTTTAATGGGTAAAAGTGGTTTGCTTTTTTAATTTTAAATGAAGTCCGAGTTATCTCTGTTTTATTTTTTATATAGTTGCTGCTTTTGTAGCTTTTTTTATTTACATTGGAAATGTGCAGATCCTGACTATGTATAGAACCAAAAGATGGCACAAAATATTTTTTCACGTGTCTCCACTCAGCCGGCATATTCTTGCCAGGTCAGCTTTGTCTCCACCCCTAGAAACTCTGCCTCCTCAGTATAACAAAAAGAAATGGAGCTGGGAGTCCATCGGATGAGCTGCACGGACAGTTCAAGGACAGAGAATGCCAGCCAGCTGGGCAGATGTTTGCTGCTGTGGGAGACAGCTGAATTCCATCGCCTCAGGGGCTGAGATGGGGGCCCGGGCCGATGGCGGGCCCTGTCTGATTGGTGGCCATGGCCGATTGGTGGCCCTGTCTGGCTCGTGGCTGACTAGTGGGTGGACTATTACAAGTTGGGCTCCATGTCCAGAACAGCTGGTAGTGGCTCCTTGGCGTGTTCCGCAGTTTGGAGCTCTTAGTCTATAGAAGTGAAGGCGCCTTGTGGTGCCCAGTGAGCTCCTCCCCAGGGCCCTTTTGATCTCAGAGATGAAGTGGGCGCGAGTTGCCGGGGCTGGGCGGGTTCTTTGTAAACCGGGTGCTCCGCTGTGTGTGGGCAATCTGGGCACTGCTGCCTTGACTGCGTCTGCCCCGGTCCATGGGGAGACGGGAGAGACCCGTTCTCCGGTCAGGGCTCCCGTTCATGTCTCACCATTTGGCGGCGCCGGGGTGGATCGCTCCGTCTGATTCTGGGAGAGGGCCAGGGAGATGGGGACCTGAGTGCTGATGTTTCATTTTAAGCATAGGACAGCCGTGTGTCTCTGTGCACACAAACACCGCTGTGTGTCCGCCCTGGCCTTGTCCACCGCGAGCCTCAGCTGCGCCGCGTGGCCCTCCCCGTCAGCACGTGAGCTGACAGCCGGCGTGCGAGTGTGCTCCCCACGCCCGCCACGCGTCCCCCCGCCTCGGGGCTCCCTGTGCTGCCCAGCAGGTGCCACCTCTGGCGGTGTGTGTGTCCACCAAGGCCTCCGGACGGGGAGGCCGGCCTGTCCGTCCCGCGGGCCCGCTTCAGGGATCAGGCTGTCAGGTGTGAAGCCAGGGGCAGGCTGGCAGCCCTGGACTCCCTGGGGGCTGATGCCATGGCCTGGGCTGAGCGGCCTCCTCCAGGAGGTCCTCTGCTCTGTTTGTAAGTCCTGTCCAGTGACGGAGGACGGCTGCCATGCTGTGGAGGTGGCCGGCTAACTCCCCATGGGCAGAGATCGCCTCACGGCACTTCCTATGCTCGAGGCCAGACCAGGCTGACGTGCAGGACGGATCACAGCGGTGGTGGGAGGGAGGGAGGGAAGGAAGGGGGGCCAGCACCCTCACCCCGCCAGCCTCCCAGGCCCCTCCGCCTTCCAAGGCCTCAGTCTGCTCCTCTGTGATGGGCTCACCCTCCTCCCTCCCTCAAGTTCTAAAACAGAACCCAAAGCCAGGACACCCTGGCGACGGATCTCAAATAAGAAACTGAGATACATTTCCCAAGTCGCCGCTCGGCGCCAGGTGATGAGTCAGTTTCTGAGGAACCACCAAGGCGAGTGTTCTTTTCTGTGGCGAAGCTTGTGTGTAAACAAGCAGGCCGTGTTGGGCTGCTGCCCCGCCCCCAGCCGCAGGCCCGCCCCGCTCAGGGGGTCTCCAGGCCCCGCCTCCGCGTGCATGCCCACGCCCTGCAGGAAGAGGTTCCGCGTGGGGTCTGGCTGTTGCCCGCTGCGGTCCTGGGCTTTCCCTGCTCTCGGTCTGGCCTCTCCGACGGCCTCCAGGGCCATCTGCTCTCAGCCGTGGCTGCACTTTGCCTTGGGGAGCCAGGGACCCCTCCCCGCTTCCCCACTGTGGTCATGAAAGCCCCCCCCAGCTGGGAACAATGGGGCCTCAAGGGCCCCATCCACACCCGAGCCCTGTGCTAGAACATAATGACCACCAGCCTGGCCCAGATCCGCAGGCCAGCCACTGCCGACCCAGCCCCATGCGGGTGGCAGCCCCGGGCAGGGCATCACGCACCGTCCCTGCTCCCCTCCCCCACCGTCCCC